AAAGATCTTTTACAATGCTGTTCAAAAGTTTGGGTAGTAGTCTGTAAGATTTTTAAATGTTTTTGAAAAAGTCTTGCTCACCAAGACTGCAAAGTTTATTTGTAAAAACTAAAATTATTTGTAAAAATAAAAATAAATACATTTTTGCATCTAAATAAATATATTTTTGTATTTAGAATATGTATAATACAGTAAAAACAGTAATGTTGGGAAATATTACTACACTACCTATTTTAATAGATTTAAAAATGTAAAATATATTTTTAAAATATATTTAAGAACACTGAACATATTTTAAAATTGCTCAAGAAAATTGGTGCTCAAGAAACATTTCTTCTTATTAGAAATGTTGAAAACAGTTGTGCTGCTTAACATTTATGTAGTAACCGTGATACATTTTTTTTCAGGATTCTTTGAGGAATAGAAACTTCAAAAGAAAAGCATTTATTTGACACAGAATCCTTTAGTAACACTGTAAAAGTCTTTACTGTCACTTTTGATCATTTTAATATGTCCCTGTTGAATAAAGCTATGAATGAAAAAACTTTTGAACGGCAGTGAATCTTAGAAACTTAGTGTATATACAGTCTATAATGTATTTTCACACCTCGAATGTGTTCTTGCTCATTCCTGAAAGCCCATAATATGACGTTCCCGTGGCAACAGACGACACGCAGATCTCTCCAATCTCATCGGTTTTACACAGTTGAGGAACACCCTCCAGTTTAACAACACACACCATTGCTGAGAAAGATGGAGAAAAGTCAGTTTTACAAGAAACAAAGTTTCTGCTCTAGAAACTGCTCTAGGCTGGTTTCTGAGGTAGATGTTGGACCTAAATCAAAATGCTTTGGGGTTGTTCATTCGTTCATCTTTTTGTAATCTATGTACCTCCTGGCATGGCCGTGCCCACATCCTGTAGGGTGAGGACGGACAGCTTCTCTCCCGTGTCCACTCTGATGACCCCATGACTCAGATTCGTCATACTTAGGACTCCTTGGCCTGCTGGCTTAGAGCTGCCCTCCTGAGGCCTGACAGAAAACACATGCATACAAATAAATGAAAGAATAAACATGTCCATATGTGTTGCCAGAATATTATGTTACCATAGACACAATATTTTCCAGATTTCATAAACAATACAGAATTGTGTGGTTTTGCATCCTGGAGCTGCAAAAGCTCTACAACCCCTGACAAAAGAGGTTTGATTGGCTGGTGTGAATATTACTTGGCATTCTCACAGTCCTAAATAAAAGTTTGTGCAAGTTATATCATTATTTATTTTCTACCACCAAATTCTTGCATTTGCACCCACAAAAATCCCATTGAATGCGTCACCAAAAGAACACAAAACATAAAACATAAAAGCATAAAACATGAGGAGCCACATGGTATTTTAATAAGATTCAACTATAATATATACTATTATTAAAAGGTTTGGAGTTGATAAGATTTTTACATATTTTTGAAAGAAGTCGCTTGTGCTTTTTATGCAACATTTATGTGAAATAGCAATCTTTTCCAACATAAATGCGTTTACTGTCGCTTTTGATCAATTTAATGCACCCTTGCTAAATGAAAGTATTACATAAAGATATCATTTTCAGTCTCAGCCTCAACAGCATTCCCACAGCCCATCTAATGCATACTACATACAAAAATGGCAAAAGCTTTCTCAAAACAGCAAGCTCTATTCTGATTGGTTGGCTTTATGCAACTTCTGGGATCTCTGCCTTTACAAATCTTTTCAAATCTCCTTTATCCAGTCAAATTTATGAATCTCTACTATTATGAATGCTTCCGAGAAAAAATTATCAACCAGATTTGCCTAAGTTTATCTTGCAAGAGATATTCGATAGTTTTGTTTGAGATATCTACAATCACACTTTCTATATTCCATTTTGCACTTTGGGTAGTATCTGATTTCAGATTTACCAGCCTACAAATGGCACATATAAACTGAAGAGTGGTTAGTAACTTTACATGTCGGTCAGGCGTCCTTTTTTGTTTATTTGGGCAATTCTTGGCAATGTGAAACAGACTTTATGGCGATATTGCAAAGTCTAGTGCAATATCGGTCTGATAACACTATTTAAACTCAGACCACACACAAGCACAATTAAATGCATTTTAATTAATGATTAAGAACCAAGAAGTTTTCACTACATGACATTAAAATCGGAGTCAGATGTATTTCTTAATAGTTTTGTGTTTCTGTGTGTACAGTATGAATGTACATAGGCCTGGTTATGTCGTTTGTAATGTGTGACCACAAAAGACAGTACCTCCCATTTTAATGAGTTTAAACTGAAAACAGATTCCTGAGCACGGGAATGACGTGTGTGCCTCCTGGGCAAAGAGAGTGTTAGTGTATTTATACCTCCTCACAGCTACAGTTAGGGCCTCGGGGGAGCCAGCACACGGGCATATGACCTCTGACCTCAAGCCCATGCTCTGAAACACGTTCAAGAATGCGTCACAGGAGGATATCGACCCTGGGAATGAAAGACAGAGAATTTACACACTTCACATAGAGGCTTGATTCACAAGGTAACATGCTCACAGGCTTTGATTCACCAGTAAAACACACTCAAGGGGGTTTGATTCATCATTAACACACTCACAGGGGTTTGATCCATCAGCGATCAGCAGCATTCTCAGACAGCTCATGGTGGTGTCACTCTGGTCTTTGTAGGCCATCAAAGCCCAGTGCAGATCCCTACTCTTCACACAAGCCACCTTAGCTGCACACACATAGAAAGAGACTGATTATTTAACAGAATGTGTAACACTATGTGTGCTCTTGTTTTATACAGCAGACTTCGCTTCTGATTAGAGCGATAGGTGATCTTTGAACACGTACACCATCTAAAAAGCCAGGAGATCAAAAGTCTGCACATTATCACATACTGATGTAACTGTGTGTGTTTGTATGTGTGTGTGTACCTTTGTACTGGCAGACGTTCTGGATCCAGGACAGAGGATTTACTTTCATAAGTGCATATGGAACACTGACCACATGTAACATATTCAACACACTCTACACAGAGAAAAAAAGAAGAGAAAAAAAAGAGAAATCACTTTTTCAAAAAAGACAGGCTAAAAAAAATCAAGTGTAGGCTACAAAAAAAATCTGATAAATGACAACATATAATAAATGAAGTCAATTATCTTACTGTTTGAACACTGTGCCAAAGGCCAATGCCTTTCTTAAAGTCCAACACATTCACCATAGTCTCAGCTGAAACACAAACAAACACAAACCACTTAAAAATGAAGTCATACGGTTTTGGAACAACATGACAGTTTTTTTAATTTTTGGGTAAATTATCCCTTTAAGAATCTGAAGTGTGATTTTTTTTAATATCTTACCCTCACTGTATCCGCAGGTATGCGTAAGTGTTTGGCAGTGTGTGAGCATCGCCATTCTTGTCACAGTTATTCCCAACACACTCCCATCCTTACAGGTCTTATACTGTCAATCAACCACGAAACATTGCCACTTTCATTATAAATGCAATGAGATACCTGTATTGTCAAAGAACTATAATACAAGCCCCCTTGCATATTAAGCAGCCTTGAACTTGGGAAGCTATATAAATATTATAAATAAATACTTAAAATTTTATATATATAGTATATATTTATTTATTTATTTATTTATATACACACACTACTGTAAAGTTTGGGTCAGTAAATTTTTTATGTTTTTGAAAGAAGTCTCTTATTCTTACCGAGGCTGCATTTATTTGATCAAAAATACAGTAAAACACTTATATTGTAAAATATTTTTATAATTTAAAATAATTGTCTTAATATATTTTAAAATGTAATTTATTCCTGTGATGGCAAAGCTGAAATTTCAGCATTCATTACTCCAGTCTTCAGTCTTCACAAGATCCTTCAGAAATCATTCTAAAATGCTGATTTGGTGCTCATGAAACATTTCTTATTATTATCAGTTTGATACATATGATACATTTTTTTCAATTATTTCATGAATAGAAGGTTCAAAAGAAAAGCATTTATTTGAAACAGAAATCTTTTGTAATATAATAAATGTTTACTGTTACTTTTGATCAATTGAATGTGTCCTTCCTTAATAGAAGTATTCAGTAATAAAAAAAAAAACTTCTTACTGACCCCAAACTTCCGTATTATTCCTGTATTATTAAAAAAAAATATCTTTAATTAATATTAGCATTAAATAAATTATGATATATATTTAAGAAACAACAAAATGAATTTGACACATAATCACATGGTCTGTTACCTCTATGTATGCTGTGTCATTGTTGGCATCTTTAATGAGAGGAAACCATTCTCGTGGGGGTTTAGATAAATGTTTGGAGTCAGTCAGCACCCAGAGCAACTTTGGCCAGCCTGAACACACACACACACACACAACACAAACATATAAACTAGATAAAAACACACATATATGTTTAACAAATAACAATGTTCCTATGAAGACTCATGTGTAGGTTTTTCTAACAAACATTGTGACATCTCTGACCTTTAAACTGCATGACATCACCACTAGCACTCTTGGGAAGGCCTTTATGACATGCATCACTTGTTAATGCCACAGCAACTCCACAGCTACCCAAAAGGAAACCAATTTGTTGACTCCCAGCATCCTTTGAGGGGCGAAAACAGGAGGGCATGCCTCAGGCTAATTTTGTTCTTATAAAATTTTTGTAAAACTGTAAAAGGTTTTTTGGTGAACTATCCATTTAATAATGACTAATTATTAGATATTTTGAATATATGCAGTACTGCCTAAGCTACTATTGCTGGAATTTTTTTGCAGTAGAAATTACCTTCTTTGTAAGTGGTACTTCAATTGGGACAGGAACAACTTCAGCCAAAAGACAGCCATAAAATGCCACCATGAACGCTGCTGGGTCATTATTGGGGTAAACCAGTGCTACCTACAGTAACACATACAGTCTTCATTCTTCATCAGTTTTTGAATATATGTCTGTATAATGTGTATATATCTGATTTCTGTCTTTATAATGGAGTTGACCATTCAATGCATGACCATTCAAAAGTTTGGGGTCAGTAAGATTTTCTAAAATGATTTTCAAAGTCTTTTATGCTCACCAAGGCTGTATTGACTTAATCCAAATTACAGTAAAAACGGTAATACTGTAAAATATTATTCAAATTCAAAAGAACTGTTTCCTATGTGAATATATTTTAAAGCGGATTTTTCATTTCACATGATCCTTGGTTCTCAAGAAACATTTCTTATTATTATCAATGTTGAAAACAGTTGAGCCGCTTATTTTTGTGGAAACATTTTTTTAGGATTATTTGATGAATAGACAATTCAAAAGAATCACATTTATTTTAAATAGAAATCTTTTGTAACTCTACTGTCACTTTTGATCAATTTAATGCATCCCTGCTGAATAAAAGTATTACTTAAAAAATTTTTTTTTAAATTGTACTGATACCAAACTTTTGAATGGTAGTGTACATTTGAGAAAAATACATAAGACAACACTTAAATACAATTTATCCACTCTTACCCTGTCTCCAGGGTGAATGATTGGCTCTTGTTTGGATCCCAGTTTATGGAGAAGGTTATAGGCCAACTTCAAACTCTTGGACCAGAGTTTACCTACACATAAACAAAGAGATATTAACATGCACCCACCAAAAAGACAATAAAATCCAATTGATGGCTATGAATTAGGGATGCAACAATACAGTTAGCCCACGGTTCAATACATACCTCGTTTTTTTTAAGCACGGTTTTCGGTTGGGTTCTGATGGCTTTTGGCAGTGCTTTTTGCGATTTGTATTTAAAAAGCAATTAAAAAAAAAAGTCAACAATTCTGTGTTTTTCTGTCAATATGGGGTGCTGTGTGTACATTAATGAGGAAAAAAAATTAACTTAAATGATTTTAGCAAATGGCTGCAATATAACAAAGAGTGAAAAATTTAAGGGGGTCTGAATACTTTCCGTACCCACTGTATATAATAAACGCCAGGTTTGTTGTGTGTGTTTGTAGGTCTGCACGATTTGGCCCAAAATGTTGTGCTTATATATTAATATGACTAATAATAATTATTAAGATAAAAAATAATAAATATTACTTGTGTAATAACACTTTCATTATTTAAAAAAAAAAGACTCCTGTACACTTCTGAACAAAAACATGGATTATCATATGTACACATCAAATTTCTTTTGAGATGAGTATTATTTTTCCTATTTTTACCCAAAATAAGATGAAGTGGGCATTACTGAGCGCTCTAGACACATGTAATATCGGTTTCATTCATACCGGAAGCCAGAGGACACCCTTGCACAGAAACTCCAAATATGCATTACAGAAGTAATAGAACTCATGGCACTCCAGGAAATCCCCAATATTGACAACTATTACTGTAACTGAATAAAAACAAGATAGAAATGTTTTAAATGATGAAACATGAAGGCAATAAACACTCGACTGCGACAATATATAGTTTACCTGTTCTTCAAGCCATCTCAGGTATTTTCAGAATAATTAAGTATATTTATAATCCATTGCTAATCGACATGGCCTTTATTACAGTATAGAATATATTGTCTGCCTCATTCTGTTGGACAACAGATATAGAAACGCTTAGAAGTCATTACAAGCGAAGATGTTTGCCGTGTGTTACTTTTTCAAATGCATGTTATAAGCGACTCAAACTCACAGTGTGTCCCGGAAATGATTTAATCACAAAACAGAAAAACCCTCAATTCACAAGCCCGTATTGAACCGTGGATGTCGTACCGAATGGTTCAGTGTTATATTGAGAATTGTGGCATCCCAACTATGAATGTACATGCATGTGTACCATATGTAAGTGTGTACGGTTGTTTGGCATTGCTGTGCGTAGTGGTCAAACAGGGGGCTTTAGGTGCAATGGCTCCCCAGCGTAGAAGGGCTGCTTCCAGGGAGGCGGGGCAGTTCTTGAGTCTGTCAAGCTCTTCTCCTTGTATAGGTGTTGACTCCACCCCTTCTGGGCGTGGCAGAGAAGGATCAGGCTGCTGCACTGCACATGGAAAACGTCAAGAGAAGGTTAGCAAAGCATTTGCATGTTGATGAGACCTATGTTTTATATCATCAGAATTCATATTACATGAATTTTAAGGAATAGTTTACCAAAAATTCTTCTTCCATTTAATTCTGTCATTATTTACTCACTCTCATGACATCATAGATGTCAAAAAAGACAACACAAGGGTGAGCAAAGGATGACAGGATTTAGATTTTTGGTTGAACTATCCCTTTAAGCACTTCACCTCGATCTCTGCAAAAATAGTTGGATCAAATTCACTTGTTCTGTGCAGGGTGTGGAGCGTTTAATCTGAGAGTAATGAATTTCAAGACCTTCGACCTATCAGTAACTGTAAAAGTGTTTCTGTGAACTGGTGCAGGATACTCAAACATCTGTAATCATATTCATTGACTTTTACAGTTATATTCATCTTCGAAATCGAACAAGGAGGCACAAAGAGAGGGGAAAACATTTTAACCTTCCAGAAGTTCTTCAAAATCCTCCACAAAAAATTCTCTCAGGGGTCTTCGCTTGGGTCGCTTCAGTGTGTTAACTAGCTGCTGGATCTTTGCCGACACACGGCTACTGACAGGCACACCTACATACACATATATGTAATTATATATATAATAATAATATAAATTCTCACAATGGTAAAAATGAGAAAACAAATCTGGATTAAATAGATTTTTTTTTTTTCATTTTAAATTAACTGAATTCCATGCACACTGAATAAAATTTCCAAACATAACAAATAGATGGCAAACTTGATCATTTCAGAATAAATGCACATTTAAAAACAGACCTCTGCACACACACTCACCATCTCCTGTCTCCATCAACTCAGCATTGCCATATTTGGGCGGGGGCCTGGTTATCATGGCGACCTGTGGGCATTGAACAGAGATGGGGGCGGGGGCTGGCATGTAGCTGGTGATGTCAGGAGGGGCCGTCAGACTGTCTGCAGTACACAAACAAACAGGTTAACTAATCAGTATAGTAACATTTACCCCAATAAATGTGACGATTCATTATCAGTTATTAGGAATGAGATGCAAAAGCATGTGCAGATAAAATGAAAGCATATACAGTACATATCAAACAGTGCTGTGGAGGTAAGCCTTTTAACTAGAAGCAAATGCCATCATTGACACTGATATATAATAGGTTGATAAAATACACAAGTGGACCCAAATGCAAATGCACACACAGCAAAATTTAACTCTTGTCTCCTTTCATCTTAAAGGGACATTTCTCCCAAAAACTAAAATTCTGACATCATTTGCTTAAACCTCATGTCATTCCAAACCTGTATGACTTTCTTTCTTCTGTGGAACACAAATGAAGATATTCTGAAGAACGCTGGGAACCAAACAACACTGGATCTATGAACTATCCCTTTTATGTCAGACAAGTCTTTAGTCCAAAGAATCATGAAATACTGACCCTCAGAATCCAGAGATGACCAAGGGCGATCTGATTGGTAGTCACTGGAGTGCCTGCCAACTATTCCATTCTCAGCAGAAACGCCCATTTCTCTTAAGCCCCACCTTTTCAGAGACAGATGAGACATCGGACCAACTTGGGGGAGAAATTGAAAAGGGAAAAATTAGACAGCTAACCTATAGCAATCATATTAGCAGTAAATATTCAAGTAAATAACTCTTTTTACTACACAAGATGATGATTTGCTGGTTTGAGTTAAGCATAAGGAGCTCATTTGCTGGAATAATTTGAACATTAGAAGCTAATTGGCTAAAATTGGTTGGGCAAATAGAACTGATTGGCTAAATTTATTTGAGCATGAGAAGCCAATTGGCTGAAGTGAGATGATCTTGATAAGGGAAGGAAGTTTAAAAGAGACCCTTATCAGGTGTCAAATATGTCTTATTTCATATGGAGTGAGTCATGCGTGAGGAGCTGATTGGCTGAAATTGTTTAGGCAAATAGATCTGACTGGCCAAAGTGAGTTGAGTGCAAGGATCTGACTGGCTGAAGTTAGTCTAGTATGAGAAACCTTGATAAGTCTTGATAAGGGAGGTTTAAAAGAGGCCCAGATCAGATGCAAAAAAAGACATATTTCATATGAAGTGAATTAAGCGTGAGGGGCTTGTTTTTCCTGCGCTTACAGTAATATTCGATATGTGCCAGATATTGGTGAAAGCAAAATCTGAGTTGGCTGAAAGTGACCTAAAGACTAATTTATAACATGACTGATCAGTATCTGTGTTTATTGGCTGCCATGTGAATATTTGCACACGTTCTTACTGCCGTATGCGTGCATGCTGGTCTCTGCGAGTCGGGCTGCGTTGGCAGAGCTGTTGCTGTGCGACGATGATGACGAAGATGTGGAAGGTGAGCCATGGAGAGCTCTGCTGATCCAGGAGTCCACGCTGACACCCCCCGCCCTCCCCAGAGACTCCTCAGCGTCAGAGCCGGAGGACGAGTCTGCAGAGACACAAAGAAAACAGTCACACACACACACACACACACACAAACACACTTACTCACTGGCTCCTGCACACAAACACATGCACATACACACACCTGGAGGTGTATACGTGTCCATGGAGGTTTGACCGACGAGCGACTGCCGTTTGGATGGCAAGAGCACAGTCATCTTTCTCTCACTGTGTCGCTCCAGCGCAGCCTGAACAGCTTCTGAGTGAACATCTGAGAGAAAGAGACAGAGTTTTTAGAGCTGTTCAGAGATTTATTTAGGAAGATTATTTATTTAGTGGTTTATCCATAGAGGAAATACTGACACTGGCACAGATTACATCTAAGCCCAATCACATGTTCTGAAGATACAGGACAACCTTCTGAAAAGTTCTTATTATAACAGATGGAAAAAAGTCTGAAAGACATTCTTTCATATTGATATTTTGAATTATAATTAGATATTTTTATTGTATATATATATTTTTATTTTTATTTTTATTTTTATTTTTTTTTTTATTTTAATATTATATTTTAAAGTACATTTCAGTCAAACAATTTTATTGAGTTTATGAAATTAAAAAACATGTACTTCAGTGACAGTGATAGTTGCAGGTATATTTGTTCCCTTAAATTGACTTCCGGGGGAATTTTTACCTTTATAAGGGCAATTTTTTCCTAACCTTATTAAACGTATGCATTATCTTTTATGTCGAATTCTAACATTTAATCAGTAGATAAATATATACAAAATTAATCTAATTTAGTTAATGAAGAATTTGCAATTAAAACTGTATATGCAGATGTAAATTGCATAAATACTGTTTTGAGATTAATGTTTTAAAGGGGTCCTATTATGCTTTTTCACTTTTTCAACTTTAGTTAGTCTGTAATGTTGCTGTTTGAGCATAAAAAAGATCTGCAAAGTTACAAAGCTCAAAGTCCACTTCAAAAGGAGATATTTTAATTTAACAGAAATCCCTTTTCAAAAACTACAACGAACGACTCGTTTGGACTACAACGCACATTTTCCGGGATTTGTGATATCACAAATACCGACGAACAGGACGAATCCTGATTGAGCTGCACTAGAGAAGGAGGGGTGCTATTATGCTTTTTCACTTTTTCAACTTTAGTTAGTCTGTAGATGATTGAGCATAAAAAAGATCTGCAAAGTTACAAAGATATTTTAATTAACAGAAATCACTTTTCAAAAACTACAACGAACGACTCGTTTGGACTACAACGCAAATTTTCCCGGGATTTGTGATATCACAAATATCGATGAATGGGACGAGACCTGGTTGAGCTGCTCTAGAGAAGGCAACGAGTGTTATCACTGTGTCGGAGACACGCTAGCTTTCCCAAGACAGACGAACTTAATGTGGTTACAATCATCCGGGTTTAAATCGCGCTCAAATTGATTTGATTTTGACGCAGTATTTACACTGAAGCTCGCAGCAGGCGGCTATGGCAAGCGGCATGACATTTCCTGACCAGGCGCCAAGTGCTGCCAACACACACTGGCCCAGCTAACCAATTACAGCACATTTCGTATTTCAGAAGGCGGGCTTTCATTTGATACAGGAACTATTCGAGCCGTTCATGCCAGACTGAGGAGAGAGGTGTTGTAATAATGTAAAATATGTGAAAAATAATGTGTTTTTCGAACAACCTAGTATGAGAGCCTGTTCTAGTACACCCCCAAAACAAAATCAAGACTTTGTAAAAGAGCATAATAGGACCCCTTTAAAAGTTGTACTGCTGTGACTTTGTTTGGCGAAATAGGGCAAGAACAGACAATGTTGACATCTTGTTAATTAAACTGTTGTATAAAATCTATATCATATTTCAAATTGTGATGATACTCTTGCTCATATAATACTGCTTAACTATATAATATATTATAAACATAAAAAACAAGAACTCAATGACAGCGGTTTCCATAATCAAATTTAGAAATAAACAAAATGCGAAAAACTTAATAACATCACTTTCTGAATATGAGCTGGTGCTGCTGATCTGTTTGCTGGAATTATGGCATAAACTGCAAAGAGCCTGTATTATGTCTCCTAGAAGTCAGATTGTGTGTGTGTCTGTGTAAATCTGTGCCCTTTATCTCACCTGAGCGGTAACGTTCATCCCTCGTGCCAGTGGACCGTCGGCGTTGGTAACGGGAGGATGAGGAAGATGATGAAGATGGTGTGACAGGGATGCGGCGCTCTGCCCCTACAGCAAACACAGAGGGACAAATGTAATCTTGACACGATATAAACTGTATGCTGCTTGGTAAAGTATGGTATGTGTGTTACCTTGTGTGTGAGGTAGGTAAGCTTGTAAAAGTTTGGATCTTTTCTTCTCGTAGCCCTTCTGGGTGATATCACCTGAAAAAAAAAAAAAAAAGTTAGGTTAACGAAACACCCATCATTTCCCCTTTTCATCAGGCACTGTGGTTCTGAATGGACCTAAAAGCCATGGCCAGTAAATGCCCTCCAATATGCATTCAAGGTGGACAGTCACCCAGTTACTCAAAGCACTTCAGAAGGTGGTTTTTAGACGCATGAAAGATATGACTCAGGCCATGTATGTAAACTTTACTCCTACCAAGCAGAGCTATGTCACAGTACAGATGTTTGGGAGCCATGCAGCTGACACATGAGGAGACACTTGGATAGAACAACTAATGTATGGGCTAAAGAGGGTGATCAACAGAAAATTTCATTGCCCTGCACTAATTAGCATCAGAATTCACAGAAGTGAATTCTGTCAAATCTGCATATATTGCACAGGAATGTTGTGAAGGGCTGCATGATTAATCTAAATAAAACCGAAATCACAACATGACTTGATTTTTTTTTATTTTACAATATATATATATATATATATATATAAACACATCCCTACTTTTTCCCCCTCCCCGAATCATGCAAATCCCGAAAGACATATTTAGGCCGCCAAATGAAGTATAAAAAGTTGAATAGCGATCTAATCAAAAATGTAATAATACTGCATTATAATGTAATCTCTTAACCACACAGTCAAAAAAGACTGTTTCAAACAACCACACTCACACAGAATACAGTGGAAAACAGAATTACTTACAGAAGCTAGGATGCTTCTCAAACTAATATTTTAAACTTTTGCCAAATGATTCCGTGTTGAGTTAGTGTGGCTGACAGATTCTAATAAACAAACACAAGTCTAAACAAGCTGCATGCCTGCATCCCAAAAAATATCACAAATGATATCCATGGCAAGATAGGTGTGGTGGCCCCCTCAGAGACCTGCAGGAAATGAAGACATGGAGGCCCGTTTCTCATGAGACTACCCCTCCATTACGGACAACAGGGGGAGGAAAAAAACTGAACTTTAAATACATTAAATACATCAACATAAAAGGAAGATTTGATTGTACACACTTGCACAGACCTGGAGGGGAAAACGTCACGCCATAAACTGGGTCACTAGGTCAATCTGCACTGAGCTTTACATAATATACGTGCATTCAAAGATAAGATAACATATGCTTATACTGAAACCTGAGCAAATGCAAGCATCCATAATCAAATCAAATCCAAGATAACATATGCATGTCCATGAGGGCTTACGCACACATACGCACACCAAACACAAGCTCAGTGGCCACTTTATTAGATCTGGCTGCTTGTCAAAAACAGCCAAACGTGGCTGTGAACCCATTTGAAAAGCATGCAGATATCATTGCAATGGTTTAGTTGCTTTCGGACTATCGGATCATTAGAATTGGCATGTTATATGGCATGTGATTGAGCAAATGAGCGTGGGAGGATTGTTGATGCAAAGTTTCTCAGAAACAGTTGACCCTGTGGGATTTACATGCTTGGGTTCACAAAGAATGCTGTGTGAATTCAGCCAGATCTGTGAGAGAAAACACCTTGTTAAACAGAGCTCAAAGAAGCCGGCAGTACAGTTCTCTTTAAAACACTGTGCAAAAAAGGGGTTTTTCAAATGCACTACAGGTCAAAGTTCAGAGCAATGAAGGTGAATGCAAGAATAACTTTTAAATGACACTGAATCACTAAAATTAGCCAATAAAGATTTGTCTAAAACTCCTTAAAAGACATAAAGAGAAAATGTCTGACAAAAGTTTAAAGTAGTAATAGCAGTAATTTTTTAAAGAAATTCAAACTTACTCAGCAAGGATGCATCAAGCTGATCAAAAGTGACAGTAAACACGTTCATAGTGTTTCAAAAGATAAGTAATTGGTGTTTTTAACTTTCTAAAAAATATTTATCATGGTTTCCACAGACATACAAAGCAGCACAACTGTTTTCAACATAAATAATAATAATAATAAATGTTTCTTGAGCAACAAATTAGCATATTAGAATGATTTCTAAAGGATCATGTGGCACTGAAGACTGAAGTAATGATGCAGAAAATTCAGCTTTGCCATCTCAGGAATAAATTACATTTTAAAATATGTTCAAATAGAAAACAGTTATTTTAGTTGTAATATTATTCCATAATTTTTTTGTGAAACTTTTGATTTCAGACTTTGATATTTTGGTAAACCTGAGCTCAGTGTGTGACATCTTGACATCTCTTCATTCACAAATCGGTATCACTACTTCCATCAACACCGCTAGAAGAGGCAGAGCACAAACATCACGCTTGACATGAATTTTCATTTTGCCCCAAGGAACGCTTCCAGCATACTGCTTAATCCAGGTTATATTCAACATCTAGGTTGTTTGGGAAGCTAGAGGGGGTTCTACCCAGCAGAAGGACCTCAGACAAGCTTGTAAAATCTGGTATAGACCCACAATCAGTTTCTGACCTGCTGTTCCATCAGAGAGCTCAGCTTGCTGGCCTACAGCAATGATAAAGACAAGGCGGCATGATAACATCAGTATAATAGTCATTTATGATTCTCTGAAACACACGCCACATTGTTCAGACCTTCACTGAAGGTGTGAGAATCATCTGACCTGAAACTGAGGCCGATTACTGATGGTTGATTATTAATATCATACAGATTGCTTCCTTTGGTTGATTTTACACTTATATCACTCTAGTAATGATAACAGAAGAACTACAGAGAATAAAAGCACACATGGACATTTTGGTCTGGGTTGTGTAACAAAATTATTAATTTGAGTGTAACTGGAAAAGAAGATTTAATCACTCTAAAAAGGATGACCCTCAAGTAGACTATATGCAATCATATCATTGTGATAAAAATACATTACATTTATTATTACTACTTATTTAAAATCGGAATGATCCCCAAATTGATAAATTTTAGGAATCCCTTAATTCACCTAAAATCATGACATTTCTGTCGGACAGAAGATGACCGCTCTGAACTTCAGTATCTTGCTGATGTTCTGCAGGTTTCCTGTTTAAAGATGTAAGACTAGCAGGTGAGAGCTTAAACCAACCAATCTAATGCCAACATCATCATAAACAGCATAATAAAACTGTATGTAGGTCACGTCTTACACAAACACACACTCCGCTCTAAGATAGCCTGGAGCTCTAGATGAATGCAAAAGCATCGAAATTAGGAGAGAACGGAATTCTTCAGAGACGGAGTATAACATTCCCTCTATAAAACAACAATATTTATGATTACATCAACTTACAAAACTCCCATTAATAATTCTAATAATAAAAGAGAAATGGCTGGTGTGAAGTCTTTGAAGCAGTAAGCTGTATACGTGTATATATGTGAGAGTGAGTGAGTGAGTGTGTGTGTGTGTGTGTGTGTGTGTGTGTGAGTGAGTGAGTGAGTGAGTGAGTGAGTGAGAGAGAGAGAGAATGAATAAAAATAGCATCAAGACAGGCTTTTGGACAGCTGCAGTTGTGGAAAGAGTAACTTCCCATGACAACCCACCAATAAATATACACACACATTATGTATTAAATGTTATGCATCTAGTTGTTCACTTAATAAACATTATGAGGCTAAATATTACAAATGCACACTCAGAGAACCCATTTACATATACAACAAAATATTTATTGTTGGAAAGTGCCCATTGGTCCACTGGAAAGAAGAGTTTAAAAAAAAATACATTTTTATACAGACATTTTTTTATACATACATTTTTCCCTTTTCAGATTTGTGACTGTAGACTTGAATGCCTGAGTCTGAAACAAACTGGGGTTTATAAGTCAATTTAATGATTATTAAAACAGAAAAGTAATAAATTTTTTCATTAATAAATCATTTTAAAACAAAAACAATCATAATAAAACAATACATTTTATATTTTATTTGTTTACCTGCATATCATGTGACCATTAACCGACATCAGGGAACCGTGAACATGCAAGTGGGCTGTTCAATTATTGAAATATTAACTTAAATTCTTAGGGGGTACTTCAAGTAAATATTTTAGGTCAAAGGGGTTCGGTCAAAATGTTTGGAAAACTCTGGTCTGGACAATATAATAATGAACATAAAAAACTGCCTAAATTAGAAACATCTCTTTTGAAGATAAATTAAAAGCAGTTTTGCAGCCAAACAGACCTGCTTCACACTGAAGAGTCCACCTGCTAGACCAGCCATAGAAACTACAGAACAACAAACCCTGTTTACTCACACCTTGACACGCACAGAGTCTCTGCACACTATATCAAACATTCAAGTTCATGGCAAAAGCCTTTCTTTCCAAAATGAGAGAGTAGAGAGCACAATTATTGAATCAGGCAGCAACAAACATATTCAAAACATAGCGCTACACCTCAGAAGAATGTTAAATTGTAAACACAAGCATTGCAACGGTGTCAAATAAAGACAAGTCAAGCTAACAAATCTTGTTTTAGGCTTCAAACTGCCTTGGGCTGAACAACACAGAACGACTCTGTTTGTAATACAAGTAGAGAGTTGGTTATGAAAGCAGAAAGAAGGGTGAAGGGCTTACTAATAGTTCACTCAAGGTGAATACGATAATTGTTCCAAACCTGTATTTTACTTCTGTAAAACACAAGAGATTAGTTTCTGAAGAATATCTGGGCTTCTCTATTCAGCATAATGAATGTGGATGGGACTGGGGCTATAAAGCTTCAAAATTACAATAAAAGCACCATAATATAGCATGACTCATGCACTATATTGTTTAAAAGTCTTCTAAAGCCATATGGTGGTTCTGTGTAATCAACAGACAGAAATCATTATTTATTGTTATTGAATAACAAACGTAATCATTCATGTATCGGAGTATTTCATTTATTATGCAAGTTGTGATGTTAAATAAAGCCCCCAGAATATTGCAAAATGTCAGAAGGAAACTTGCACAGACTTCTCCTCTCATGCAGTTTCTACGGATGCTGCCGGAAGCTTCCCTGTCAGATAGTCAGAAACACGGATTTAAATGCCAATAAAACAAGTTAAGATGTTTACATGCAGGTGAAATTGTGTTAATGAGCACAATTTCTGTAAACCGGTAAACTACCGGTTTCGATCAGCTTAAAGGGATAGTTCACCCAAAAACAATACTTTGTGCGCAAAAGAAAAAATAATAACGACTTTATTCAACTATTCGTCTCCTCCGCATCACCCTGTAAACAGCGTATGCTGTTTTGTGTCAGCTGCGCCACGCGGATACGCTGTTTCCATTCAGATCAAATCACAACAACGTAGGAAACAGATCCGGCGTGATGCAGCTGACTGAAACGACAAGAGGGTGAGTAAATGATGACAGAAAGGGGTGGCTAAATATCACTTTAAAGGTGAAGAATGCCCATTCTGTCTCTCTCTGAGCCACTAGTGAGGCTATGAAAATCTGACCTACCTGCTCAGGGTGAC